CCCCCCCCCCCCCCCCCCCTCCGAGCTGAAGCTCTAGAAAGTCTATACCATAATCGTTCAACACTCGAGTATAAATGTCTGACTGTAACGCCGAGGCTCAGCAAATAAACGCTTGCTTGGTAATACTTTCTTGGCGCTTTCATGTGTCTCGCTGGGCGCTCACCGCTGATCATACTACTTTGGTTGATATCCTCTCCGGTTGAGAACCTCCCCTACCCGAACCAGTATGAATCGTTCCCTCGATAAAAATTTTGCGGCGCAGTGCCATCCCTCGCTGTGTGTCCCTGACACTCCATGCGCGCGCGTCTTTCGTTCCATGCGGGATCACCAGGCGTGCGGTACAGCGCCGGAGTCATGGATTGTGACGAGGACATCATAGACAAGATTACGCTCCAGCTGATCGTGTGCGGCTCTAGGGCCATCATGCTATACACGGTGAGCATCGCGGATGTTCCGATTCATGCCTCGCGGCTTGTCTACGTAGGGTTGGTTGTGCCTCGGCTGGGGCAGACCCGGGTGTCCCTCTACCGGGTACCGGGTTCTAGGAATAGCCGGCTGGTTCCGGTTCCATCGTCCGGTAGCCTGGAATTCGGCTTTCATACGCGGCACCCCGAAAGCAGGGGGATACATGGTACGCATAAACGGCGCCCCAACAATCGCGGGGTACCCGCAAGGGTTGATACACGGCGCCCCAACCCGGTTACCCAGTTCCCGCTTTTCCGGCCGGGGCACAGGCCCTATTTGTAGACGCCATCGTCACGTATGTTTTTTGTCCTTCGCAGCCCCGTAGCAGACACACTCTTCGCCCCATATCAACGTTCATGCTCAGGGTTGCCCAAAAGGTATCAACATGGATGAATTGTCTCAGGCGTGCTCGGCCGTTCTACAGGAAGAAGAAGAAGAACCTTTTTGAACGGAACCCCTGCCGATTGCCAGCGAAGCTCAATCTCTCCCCGACTTATGAGGCTTTCTTTTCTTTTCAACCGCCCACCGCAAATGATCCACTGCCGCTATTTTTATGTTGCTGTTGTTGACGACAGTGCTTGCGAGGCCTGCGGCTCGCCACAGTTTGGGTCGCCGTGACAGCGTTTTCCGAAGGCCTGAGGATGAGGGTGTCGACGCTGCTCGGCAGGGCATCGGCGGCGGCGGCGGCGGGAGAGGTGCTGCCTGGCCCCGGCGGCGGCGATGCTTCCCGCCCTGGCAACATGACGGCCGGCGCCGCCGACTCGCAGGCCGTGATGATTGGGTGAAGTCTCGACCATCTCACCTTCGGCTGCGGCCGACACAATTGAAATTGCTGACGAGCCTTGGTTGCGGCACTGCTTCATTTTGTTGGGGTCGATCCAAACGAGGCAGAGATGATGGCACAGTTCTGGTAGAGTGTGCACGAAAGCCAAACAAGGCCGAAATGGGGTGCGGTGGAGACGCTAGTTCCGGGAATTAAGTGCCTTTCAAGAAAATCGCCGCTCGTCTTTCTCGTTTGTTTGTTATTTTGTGTTGAGAAGGATGGTGGTGAGGGAAAACACGGGGCGCGGCATGGTTTGCACGGTCGAGCATGAAGTCGGGTAGAGAAAAACCCGACTTGCCCGTAAGCGGCGAGTTTCGTGCCGTTTCATTTTGTACCCGATGGTACTGTGCCCCTTCGTCGTGCAGGATGGCTTCTACTCCTACCATAGCTGTGTCATTAATGTATAAAACTTCTTTCGGCAGTCGCTGTGTTATCGAGAACTTGCGTAAATAGTCGAAATACAGGTTTGGTTGAGCGTGTAGGGGGAGCTCGAATGCGTCATGGAAATATTCTGTCCTTTGTGTTGGGTGGTCTGTACCTGCAAGGGGGTATCAACGACGACTTGTATAGGATGGTCGGCAGCTGCTCAGTTCAGTAAGCGACGAGAGACCACACAGGTTTGGTGAGAGGGGGAAGGGAGGGTTCAGTTTCGAGACGAGGGCGCGGTACAGCCATTGAGGTTCCGCATCTTGGTGCCGATGTGTCCATGTATGACCACACCAAGGCCTAGATCAGGCGTGTGGCGAAAAATAGGCATGACGAGAGGAATTGTCGCAACATTCTTTGTTTCTACAGGATGTGTCCCCGCCCCTTCCCTCCCGTCCTTCTCTGTAGTGCTCTGCGCAAAACTCGCGGGGTGGGGCTTATCGGTGGAGAAACCAGTCATAGAGCCAACCCCCCCCGGGTTCGTATGCATACGAGTGCGTATAGCTTAGTTTTCAGTCCCCGCGGCACAACCGCAATTGTATGTTGCTGCCTGTCCCTTGGAGGGCCTCATGTTCTGAATGCTCGGGGCCTACTGGGTAAGAATTGACTTGTTGATTTTTTGTTCAACTGTTCGCCCTCCATACCCCGGCTTGCTTCACGGATAGGAGGGAACCTCTTGTTGTACATTTACATGCAAGCGTTTGTCGCCACGTTTTTTGTGACTGGACAGCCTTGGTATTTTTTTGGGGGGGGTTCACTCATCGGCGTTGTTGGTCTAGCCTGTGTGCGTGGTGTGCGTTTCCGTCACTCACAGGGAGATCGGCAATCCTTACGACCGATTGGAGTTGTGCCGACGATGGCGGTACGGAATGAAAGCCAAAACGAGGGTCGTCGACATCATCGCCAATATTTACCCCTTCGCAGCCCATGGGTGCATAACGCGGGGAGCGTATCATCCCCGCTTTTTCGCACTTTTTCTGTTGTCAGCTCGTCCACTACGTGTTCGGATTTTCCCCTGAGTTTGGGGTGCAGTTCACCAGCCAGCCTACAGGGGATAGCGAACACATGAAACGGTGGTGTGAAAAGCGTGCAACCTTCGTTTGGGCGGTCACCATCATTGTAATCCCCTGCCCTGCCTTAGTATTAGGAGCAGCGGTGCTTTGGAATCTGTCCAGAGCCCCCCACCACCAAGACGACGCCTTTGCAGCTTTTGATAGTGTTGTTGAGGGACGTGCTGTCGCTTGTTCGGACGAAACCCCGGGGGTTGTTGGGAGAAAACCATCCATTCCATTTGTTTCTCGAACCCTTGTAGCACCATTGGCACGACACATTTCTCTGTACTTGCGAGATGAAAAGCATCATTTTCTCATAACCACCAACTAACGCGCTGCGGAGGGGTAGCCCTATTCCAATCAAGCCCGATGTCGTGCGTGTTGTGTGCGACGTCTTCGTTCAAACACAGAGCTGTGACTGCTCGCCATCCCCTACCCTTGGATTTGTCTCTGACTTTTGGGGATCCCATTCAAAACCAGAAAGTCCTGGCCCTTCATGGCTAACTAAGGCAAGCCCGTGTGCTGCCTCCTCTTCGTCACGAGCAACAAATTTAGCTGCTCAAGTCAGGCCTTAAAGTTTATTGCCTGACCTCAAAATCCCCCTACAAGCAATCGCAGAGGAATCCGCGTTCTTGCTTGTTGCACAGCCAGTAGTGCAGGTGCAGCCTATATTAAACTGTGCGTCCCTCGCCTGTCGTGACTGCAAGTTTAACAGCCCACGAGCAATCAGCGTGTCCCAAGCCTCTGGGCGATAGGTAGGGCGTCCAACGATTTCTCCCCACCATCCCCGGGCTCGGGTTTTCGCCGACCTAACAACAAAAAACGAACCCGAGCAAGATTTTCCACGTGTTCTACGAAATTTCGCATCTTTCTTCCAGTCGCAGCGTGTGCCTTCATGTGGGGATCACTGGCTGGCATCATGCTAGAATTCCGTCCAACTCCAAGTATGTATACAAATATACATGTTTTTGGTAGTCATGGCCTGACTACAGTGAGTGGTACCACCAATTGAAATGATCGTTCTGGGCGGAAAACATGTCGCATCTCCCTAGCCCGGACAAGGAGGGTAGTTGTAGTCCCTACCAGCAACAGCGCGGCGAACAGCGTGCGCAAAATCTGTTCGAAACACGACCGGGCATGCGAACGAGGCGGCAATTGACTTGCATTGGGCCGGCGTTCAACGAGTGTTTAACAATTGGCTACTATGCCCACTAATGGAAAACGAACGGACGATTTACAACGCGAACAGAGCACTGCAACGGCCCTGCCTGGTGGACCTTGCGATATGGTTAGAAAAAGCATGACGAGCTTCCGTAGGCCGGTTCGCGCGAGGACGTCGCACTCAACGAGCTCTCACCGCAACCAGCACGACGATGTCCAAGATGCATTCGAACGCGTAGAAGAGGGCCTCGTCGATGTCTCCAGGGTAGTAGCGACGTCCCCGTGACTGCATTCCTCGCCTGGCGGCGTGATCATCGGGTTCAGTAAAATCACAATAATGAGCATTTCTAACTCAACGGCTTGCACGCACTCGCAAGTTAGAGCCCGGCCGACCATAGTTGTTACGGACACTCACCAGTGCACTGTGGTAGTGCCGAACTAAAGCAGTCCAACAATGCATGTCAACGTTCGCAACCAGCCGGCTGAGCTGTTGGCACTGCACATGGCTTCAGAAATCGGGAACGCCATTCTTCCACCGAATGACGGACGGCGGCGAGAGAAACATTTCGACGAAGGCGGCGATCAACATCCAGCCTGAATGGTCTTCTACCTTTCGCGTCATGATGATATGCTGAGCATCGAGACGAGCACGACACGATGAAATACCTGGTTGACTACAGGCAGCCACAAGTCAACGGACAGTATTCCCCCCAGCGCCAACACGATCTAACGAGCGGATGTTCGTTGTGAGGAGCTTACCTGAGCTGATACCGACGTTGCCGCTCGTAGTCTGCTCCGAGATGATGCTGGCTATGGCGGCATCAACAACCGTAACCGACACCGCAATGAAAATCATCGGCAACATCGTGCCGCCCAATCGAAGACTGCCATCACAGACAAGCACACGAGTGACGCCGGCGTACCAATGTCAATGTCAGTATATTAAAAAACACGCACCAAATAACGTAAAAGTACGGGTCTACATGCCTGCCTCGCGAGCAAGCTAGAGCTCCGTACTTGTTACCCCGGCTGGCATTGGTGGTTGGACATGTACATGTAATGCCACTGCTTCTGCGCGACTGGTGTCGGACACCAATACCCCACTGCTGCTGCTGATCGAAACCAAGATGTTGAAAAATGGCAGATCTAGCAAGGATCTAGATGACCTTACCGCTAAGCAGCAGAGCACATCCGCTGATTGCTTTTTACCAGTTGAGAGCTCAGTAATCCACAGCGGTTCAACATTGCAGCGTAGAATCTCGTGCTTCGTCTGAAAAAGCACAACTGACCTGGGACAGTCAAAGGTAGAGGAGACGGCGGTGCTCGCGATTTGGAAGTACGGCAGCATGGTCGACGTCAACGACAACCGAAACGAAAATACGAATGAGGGCAACCCTCACGATCGGGCACCCCAAACTGTACCGTGCTACTAAGCTCGAAGAGACGCGGCGACGCTGCGCACCGCACAACAGCACCACCCCTTATTATGGTTAGGAACGCCGCTGGAGAAACACGATAATGCCATTGTTAGACACGCAGTAACAGTGGCTATCGCACACAGCAATGCACACAGGAAATGGCAGTGGCTCAGATCTCTTCTTCACGCTTGGTGGTGATCAGAATCACCAGGTGGGCATCGGATGGAGGAATCCGATGCGGGTACCCGCGCATTGGAATCGAGAGGTGGTGACACACCTCGAACGTCGATGATATCAATCCACGCCCGCCAGGCTCAGAGTAGTTACCTCTGCGTACTTCAACGTACTTCGTTGCCCGTGGTTACCGTAACCTCCAGGCTCCCGTGGGATTACCCATCTACTGTACCGCCGCTACAATACTTGACGCTTTTCCTACGCGTGTCCGGGAGTCAACAGCCCTCTACCGGGTCCATCTCGTACTATGTAATACATGTACGTACACCACCACGAGAATGTTTGAGGTCTCCTGGCTCCACTTGTTAATGACCGCCCAATCTGCGTTGTGTCGGAGGAGGGAACCTCGGTGATATGTATGATAAATTAATGTGCCCATCAGACGACACTATTTCTCCGTCTTCAGCTCCCTCCCTCCTAGACTGCTCCGTCTCCAAATTGTACAGTAGTCTACAAGTTGAAAATCGTTGTTTCTGACCTTTGTTCTTTCGCCTCAAGTGCCCAAATGCTACGTCATCTTGCACTAGACCGTTAGTTGTGCCTGGTCATTCTGTCGCTGTAGACTACAGTCTACATGTACAGTCCTGCTGTATTGTCCTACAACTGTGCAGTGTACGGTAGGCCTTTATCCCAAGGTGTTGCTTCCTGCCTGGAACAAAAGCAAAGGAGAGACATTCGAAGCGCACGTACACACACACCGACTGTAACCCTTACCCCATGTCAAACACGTTATCGTTTCCGACCCTGTTGTTGTCTAGCGTCGGGCGGGAACAGCCGTTTCTCGCAGCGGCCCCTGGGTACATATCCAACAGCGAATGTGTGTGTGTGCCGTCGTCGACAACATTTAATTGTCGTTTCGGCATGAGCTCTCCTACGCATGAAGGAGTACCATTCCGCCTTGGCTCTATGTGCAAAGTTCAGGCTCGGCCCTCGTGTGCGGCATCTGGCACCCTTGGCCATAGACACGTTCCCAAGCTGACAGGTTCATGTGGTGATCAGGCGGCGGATTCCCCTCCGACCCCCGCAGCAGTAGCTGTAGTCTATACTTCAGTAGTAGGCGAAAAAAACAAGTATACCACAACACAGCAGTAAGTGACCGCCGCATGACCACCGCTGTGTGTTCGGTTTTGTTGGGGACACGTACGTGTCCAAAAATGACAGCAGTATGAAGGCATGCTCACTACGTGAGACATACTACTTGAGTTTGTGCACGACCTGGGAGCACACACGATAAACAGCCGGCCAAGCACGATCTCATGATGGTTTTGTTCGATCTCAACGTGTGCCTTTCGATCGTGCCGGTCCAGGAAGTATAGCGAATCCACTTACCTCTCGCTCTGGTTCTTCGATCATGTTGATCGTGAGCCCTGAGCGAGAGTGGGTGTGTGCGTGTGTGCTTGTCTGCTGCGTGTGGTGTTGTGCAGGTCGGCGGCCGGCGGGGAAAATATTAAAGTTCTATTGTACCGTTCTCTCCAGGACCAAGACTAGATAACGCTCTGACGCTCTCACCGATATTGTTGCCATGCGCTAAGAGGGATTCCACCAGATGGGGTGCTGCGATGTACTCGGTAGGGTCAATATCGTGCGATCGTCTACCGACATATGCTTTGCCGATGCTGTTGAA